TATTTAAGAAAGTGAACGGCTATATATAGTACACAAGTTGAACAACAGTTATGCAAGAGTTGCGCATGAGTTACATAAGAACAGAAATAGTTTAGGAAAATCCCATTATGAAGCAAGAGTTGCGCAAAAAAAAGAAACGAAAGAAACGAAAACGAAAGAATGAAACAAGAGTTGCGCAATAACAGAAAGAAAGGAAAAGAAGAAGAAAACACCGTCTTATGAGCTGCCAGGAATGGCAGATCATAACACAGGAATACGTTGCTTTTATGATGTGTCAAATTCATATAGATAAAAAGCTGTCATATTATAATAAGATAAAGTGATCGAACATCACCTTTACAGCTGAAGGCATTGTAGATTGTTATGACAAGCGAAAGCAAACGTTCTCAAAGACAAATACCACAATATGTTAATTTCTCTACGTGTATGTCAGATAAAAAAAACTTTCCAAGATTAACATGCTTCAATATTATTCTGCATAACAACATGGTTCAGTGAGTACATCTGACACACTTACTAAACTTTTTTAATACTCTTTTTCGCATAGATTACAGATGGTATACGTCGATTATTAGGTGCATATTAACAGAATCATGATAAAAGCGTTTAAAAACAACATTCGGAAGGATAATCATGATAAAAAGTGGGATGAAGTGGGTGGTTTAGATGGTTTCATTAATTCTGTTGAAAAGTTAGGTCAAGATTACCGTCATTTAGAAACTGATAATAATTGGCGAGAAGTTTCTTCAATCTGGGGCCGTTTACTCACCGGAACAAGATTTAAAAAAAATGATGAAAAATCAAGAAAGTGGCTTTATACTGTATGGAGAAATAATCGTCGAGATATCAGAGCCAAATTTTTGGGAAAGAAAACCATCGATATTTCGTCTGTTAACACTGATGATAAAAATAACTCAACGTTATCTACAATTCCGTCTATTGAACGGAAAGCAACGTGTTCAGCTACAGATGAAACTCTGTCAAATATTCCCAAAAGTACTTTATGTTTCTTGCTTTCGTATGGTGAATGGACAACAATTTTTGATCATAAACAATATAAATTAAAAGATAAGTGGACAAATATATTCAACCAGAAACTGATTGAAGCAGGATTAACCTGCACCGTAAAATTTCAATATCACCATGTTAAACAAAAACAATCTCGTAAGAGAAATTCAGCATTTTTTTCGTGCATGGCTCATTGTAAAATTAAACTGTGCTGCATCGTTCTATGTATCAAATTAAAAGATGAACCCCAAAAGAACATGCTTGCGTTATTTTCCGTCGAAATACTTGGTGAAGAGCATCACAATGCAGAAGAAGAAGTAGCTGGTCGACAACTAACCGGTGATGTTAGATTAGAAATGGGTGAATAATCAATTAATATTTTTTAGACTTCATCTAAAATTAATAAAACACAGACCTATACACCATGATTCCTCTTGAAGAGACCTTGAATAGGATCCGAAGAATGTAATTATGCAGAACAGAGAGCACAGTATTCATGAGCACTTGCACATTGGCACGGTATCCCTGGCATTTTGAACATAGCGTGACCCTAGGCGTACCCAAATAACGTTTCACTGTTAGCTTCAAATGATTAACATAAATAAACCCATTATTCAGACATTTTATGTAAGCACGATTGTCACGGAAGTTAACCTTAACATTTCGTGTTCGACTAGATGCAGGACAGACAAAAAGAACGACATTCGCAGAGGCATACTGCTCCTGAACATCAGCTATTACTTCTGCTTCTGATAGCTGACAAGCAACTCCCATAGCTAAAACACTCATCTGTGGAGGTATATGCTTAAGCTGTTCAATGTTAAATTGTTGACTATTAATACTTCTTGGATATGTTTCATTCATAAGTAACTGTGAAAATGCTTCACGATTATCATCATAAACAAACAAATATTCCTTTGTACTATCAATTCGCCAAAATGAAACCAAGTCACGAGTTCTAACATTTCGTCTTTTTAATTCACCGATAAACTGTTTAGTAATCTGATCCGTATAGTGCAAATGAATAGCATTTAGACGCATTTTTAATAC